GGTATGTACTGGGTATGAACTTCATACCAGGGTTCGCACCTGAAACTACACGGAGGTATGTACTGGGTATGAACTTCATACCAGGGTTCGCACCTGAAACTACACGGAGGTATGTACTGGGTATGAACTTCATACCAGGGTTCGCACCTGAAACTACACGGAGGTATGTACTGGGTATGAACTTCATACCAGGGTTCGCACCTGAAACTACACGGAGGTATGTACTGGGTATGAACTTCATACCAGGGTTCGCACCTGAAACTACACGGAGGTATGTACTGGGTATGAACTTCATACCAGGGTTCGCACCTGAAACTACACGGAGGTATGTACTGGGTATGAACTTCATACCAGGGTTCGCACCTGAAACTACACGGAGGTATGTACTGGGTATGAACTTCATACCAGGGTTCGCACCTGGAAAGTACTCAAAAATTTTAATTTTTGGGTAAGTACTCTGGTACCTTGATATGTACACAATAAGTATCCACCAGGTGACACACTCGGTACATACCCAGTAAGTACCAGGTATGAATCTGACAAATATCAAGTACATACCTAGTAAGTACCAGATGCCACATGCCTGAAAAGTATGAGGCAAGTACTGAATTTTGTCCCTAGTAAATACTAAGCAAGTGCCCAGGTTTTTACTCAGTGAGTACTAGATTCATACTGGATACATACATTATACAGGGTAAGTACTAGGGTTGGGTAAAATCATATGATGTGTAATTAACCGTCAGAAAAACTGTCACTGATTAATATTTGGCACTGTCATGTGTTATAAGGTCACAATGCCCCTTCAGTGTTCCAATCTTTTTATTGAAAAACAGTGAACAATACTCTTGAAACCATACAAACTTGTTTTACTGGACATGAGGTAGAGCTCACAGCAGAGCAAAGGGAGACAGTTGTTAGGATAGTTGGGGACAGTGGCTGATTTTCATGTTTTTGCGGAGATAGAAAAGATCATCTTCTCATCTAAATATGAGCTGATTGTCGATGTCCCAAAACTAAGGAAATTTCCGCAGTAATTGGCTCTATGCTCCTATTCTTTTTCCTCTACTTAAACAAGTAATGGATAACTCACTTCCTCATCAAAGTCATCACTCTGTCTCAAACAGAGCACCCCTCTCCTGCCTGGCTTATCCAGGGACTCTTGTTATGTAGTTATTTGCTACATGCTACAATTAATTGTGATTAATTTGTTTGATAATATCGCCCAACCCAGTACGTACTGGACTGTATTTTTTATCGCTACGAAATAGTATTCTGCTTGCCTTCAGATTTACTGTTTAAAGGCCCTGTAACACCAGACAACTTATGTCAACTTATAAATATTTTAAATACCAACTTATGAACATTTTAAATACCAACTTATAAACATTTTAAATACCAACTTATGAACATTTTAAAGACCAACTTATGAACATTTTAAAGACCAACTTATGAACATTTTAAAGACCAACTTATGAACATTTTAAATACCAACTTATAAACATTTTAAATACCAACTTATGAACATTTTAAAGACCAACTTATGAACATTTTAAAGACCAACTTATGAACATTTTAAAGGCCAAATTATAAACATTTTAAATACCAAATTATGAACATTTTAAAGACCAACTTATAAATATTTTAAAGACCAACTTATAAACACTTTAAAGACCATTTTATGAACATTTTAAAGACCAACTTATGAACATTTTAAAGGCCAACTTATGAACATTTTAAAGACCAACTTATAAACACTTTGAAGACCAACTTATAAAAACTTTAAAGGCCAACTTATAAACATTTTAAAGACCAACTTATAAACAATTTAAAGACCAAATTATGAACATTATAAAGACCAACATATAAACATTTTAAAGACCAACTTATGAGCATTTTAAAGACCAACTTATAAACATTTTAAAGACCAACTTATGAACATTTTAAAGACCAACTTATAAACACTTTGAAGACCAACTTATAAAAACTTTAAAGGCCAACTTATAAACATTTTAAAGACCAACTTATAAACAATTTAAAGACCAAATTATGAACATTATAAAGACCAACATATAAACATTTTAAAGACCAACTTATAAACA